GTAAGTCATGGTGTGCATGTATCGCAAAAGGACGTTTTTGGTGTAGTTCTGTTCTTTGGGATGTGGCAAATGGGATTTCGGGATTTGACATCTCATTGGTTGATCTGATGTACCCTCCCCCACCCTTTATGACCCGCATCTGACGCCGCTCACAGGGCGGTAGCGACCAAAGGAGGCGAAAATTTGGTTTTTGACCCACTCTGTACCGAAAACCGTGCAGAACCAAGAGCAGCCTTGTATCAGATACAGTTGTATGTAGGCAGCTACGAATGACCATCCGTGTGCTATTGTAGTATCCCTGCCCGACCAATACGGAAGCAGTACGGAACTAATACGGAACGACCTTATGTTGTATCTCCGCATATAAGCGTACGGCGCCTGCTGCATAAAAGCAGCTGCGTTTTTCTGTTTCAATAAGATTAGATTAGATTAGATAGCAACGAAAGCTAACTCGAAAAAAATAGGCAACCTCTAGGTGAGCACCGGAGAGAAAGTTATTTATTTTGCCGCTTCTTCTTTCACTAATAATTATATCTCAGGTGTGTACCTGAAAGTAGAATAAAAGTAATTCTTGTTGATTTCACCGCGCCTACCACTCGGCTACCCATTACATTGGTGGCAGCGGTGTGTTTTTGTAAAATAAAACAACGTGATTCGACCCCATACCCCCATGGCTCAACCCGCTGCAGCTCCGTGCGACGAATCAAGATGAGAATCGTGTTTCATGCTTTCCTGGGCCTGGCCATGCTTATTAGCCTGCAGCACAGTCAGGGTGCTAACGTGGATCACCATTCTTTCCGCACGGCATCCATTGGATGGCGATTCCAAGCAACCCGCTACCTACATGTATACTACCGGTGGTGATGACGAAGCTGATGAGGACGACGACACGCAGGCTGCTGACCAAGACAAGGAGGGTATTCCCCAAGACCAGCAGCGTTTGATTTTTGCCGGCGCGTAGTTGGCAGACGGCCCAACCCTGAGTGACTACAACGTTCAGCAGGAGTCCACTATCCACTTGGTACTTCGTCTCCGTGGTGGAATGCAGAATTTCGTCAACACTCTTCCTGGCTAGACCATCACTCTTTACGTCGCGCAAAGCGATGCTATCGACAATGTGAAGACCATGATTCAAGACGAGGAGGGAGGTCATTTGTCCGACCACGAGCTAGCCGCTCTGAGTGACCGGCTCAGCCAAGATGAAGATAACACCTGGCTTGCCCTCCGCCATAGCTCCAGCCGCCGCCGTGGTTACTAACGCTGATTCCAGGTATGGCATTTTCTTTCCTGTCTTCCTTCAGTCTCCCTGTTCTCTTCAGTCTTCCTTTATGCGAGTGTGTGAATCCAGTTTAGTTTGGTAGGCGTCTGATCATGGTGAGCCACGGCTTACCCAGCTAACGTGGGACAATGTGTGTGACAACACCCCTTATAGTTATAGTGTATTCAGTTCGGTTTTTGAACTGCGATGATCCTGGCGGGTTGTGCCAGCGTTGTGCAGGAAGAGTGCTGTGGTTTTTCAGGTCCTATTTGGAGGACAGTTCTTTCCCCTTTTGACCCCGTGAGATCGTGTGAACCTGGTGTGCTTCTACTTTATGATTTGCTATCAGTTCATTTCTTCTGTCTACTCTAAACGTTATCATTTCCGATATAATTTGCCATCTTCCGGTTGACGCTGTGTTCGTAACACTTCACTAATTTTGTGAAAATCACGAGGGCGTGGTTATCTGTAGGAAGGGAGGGTGTAGTATCCCTGCCCGACCAATACGGAAGCAGTACGGAACTAATACGGAACGACCTTATGTTGTATCTCCGCATATAAGCGTACGGCGCCTGCTGCATAAAAGCAGCTGCGTTTTTCTGTTTTAATAAGATTAGATTAGATAGCAACGAAAGCTAACTCGAAAAAGAAGTAGGCAACCTCTAGGTGAGCACCGGAGAGAAAGTTATCTATTTTGCCGCTTCTTCTTTCACTAATAATTATATCTCAGGTGTGTACCTGAAAGTAGAATAAAAGTAATTCTTGTTGATTTCACCGCGCCTACCACTCGGCTACCCATTACACTATGACCATCCGTCTGCTATGGATGAACATGGCCACTGCAGATAGCCATGAGCGGCTACTTTGACCAGGGCAAAAAAGCATCTCGTAGGTGGCCAAAGTTGTTGCTTGCCACAAATCTGGTTTCTCAGCTGAATAAGCCGGTTGTGATCACCAGCACCATTGAAGACCTTTCCAGGTGGCGGAGTAACATGATATGAACCAGGGGAGCTGGGTTAGAGTCCCGTACTGACCATGCGGAACAAGGGACCTTTAGCAAGCATTACAACGTCAACGTGAAGGGGAACTGGGTTAGAGTCCCGTCCTGACCATGCAAAACTCACTCATGTTTGTCGAGCTTGGAGGGTCTACTCATCATGATCGCAATGAGTGGGTTTTAGCCAAGTACGTGCGATACGGAGAATAGCACCCTAAATCGCGCTTTTTTTTCCTTTTTCGATTAATCTCATATTTTGGCATAACCATTACTATTACATGACACAGAACGGGATCGAGGGTAATCCAAGTGTCAGAAAGGGCTTGTTCAAGACAACGGAGGAATGCTCTTCCCGTTAGCGTCAGAACTGAGGGTGAAAAGCGGACTTTCCAGACTCTCACACGTGTACTAGATAGATCTAGAGGTGATTGCAGCGGAGCAATAACTCGCTCAGCTACTTTCACATACTGGTCAATCTCTCTCTCTCTCTCTCTCTCTCTCTCTCTCTCTCTCTCTCCCTCTCTCTCTCTCCCTCTCTCTCTCCCCCTCCCCCCCCCCCCCTCCCCCCTCTCTCACACACTCCCCCCCCCCTCTCTCTCACTCTCTCACTCTCTCTCTCTCTCTCACTCATTTTCTCCCTTTCTTCATTTGTTCTCTCTCTCATAATATCAGGAGTACATACCCCCCCCCCCCCCCCCAGAGTGTGCAACGCCGATCCAGTTCTGCATAGGGTCTTGGTGGAGCGGAATCGGATCTTCTGTGTAACAGTCCAACTAACTTCAGTAGTCATTCTTGGAATAAGCAATGATCCTTGCCTTAATGCGTTCTTATATACATGAACAAGCAATGATGGACATAACACCTAACAGCAGCAGCGTGATAATAGCAGGTGATAAGTGTATCCTATTCCTAGTGTTAGTAGTAACAGTGAATCTGTTACACCATTCCCCCCTCTCAACTGTCAGAACAGTACCAATTCGAAGGAACAGTTATGGTAACTAATGATCATGCATGGATATGTGGAATGCATGGTAGCCAAAAACAACACTGATGAACTCAAGATCCAGTGCATGTCCTCTGCAAATAACGCCTGGCTGGCAGGGAAGCACTATCCTAATCATGCAGAATGCTACATTTCTATTGCAACATGTAGAAACTAGCAATACAACTGTGGCTGCCAATTAAATAGCGATTTTATGAAAAACGGTCCAGGTAGGTTTTCAGCGGAATAATAGCGTTTCCTGCTTCATCCATCAAGTATTCCTCCGGCTCCCAGGTGGCATCTCGGTAGCCCTTCCATTTCACTAGGTACTGCGTGCGCCGTCCTCTCTTCTTGTGTGACAACACCTTTTCGACAATGTACCGCGTATGGCCATCCGCATCGGTTAGGGGTGGAGGTGCCGGCTGAGTACGGCCCGGTATCTCATTGCCATGGTACAGCTTGAGGGCAGCAATATTGAACACTGGATGGGCCCGAATGATTCTTGGAAGAGCTAATCTGTACGCATTCGGGGCCACTTTCTTCTGCACCTTGAATGGCCCATACCACTTGAGCCTTAATTTGTGTGAAGGCCTGTCTCATTCCTCGGGCGTCAGCAGGAAGTCCCTGAAGACCAACACCTCATCCCCCTCCTTCAGGGCGTCCTCCACCCGTCCTCGATCCGCATACAATGATTGCCGGGCCTGCGCCGCCACGATGGCATCCTGTGCCTCACGTAGTGCCTCTACGCGGCCATCCAGCCATGACAGCGGACCATTCGTTTCCATGCCAGCTCCAGCTTTCTGCTTCGTCAATAAGCTCGAGGGAGTAACTGGATGGCATCCATGGTTGAGGAAAAATGGCGTGTTACCTGTTGACGCTTGATCGGCATTGTTGATCGCAAACTCACATAGCGATAGGAGTTCATCCCAATTGTTTTGCCTATGGTTGACGAAAGCTCTTAGCGTATCCTCAATGGCACGGTTCACACGCTCAGTCATGCCATCGGTCTGCGGGTGGTTGGCCGTGCTCATTTTTAGCTCCACGCCAAGAATACTGAAAACCTCCTTGAAGAACGCCGACGTGAATCGCGGATCTCGATCACAAACTATCGTTTTGCTCAAGCCATGGGCAGCAAACACATGATCCACGTACAATCGGGCTGCCTCCTTAGAGTCAACAAGAACAGTCGTCGGGATCAGGTGCACATTCTTCGTCAGACGGTCCACAAAGGTTAGAATGGCGCTATGTCCTCGGCAGGTCAGCCTCAGTGCCATGATGAAATCCATGCTGATGTCTGTCCAGGGCTGTTCGGGGACTGGAAGGGACTGCAACAGTCCTGCCTTGGTCTGGCTACCCTTTACGCATTGGCACCGGTCGCAAGATTTAACGAAGTCCTTCACAGTACTTCTCATGCCTGGCCAATAGAAGTATCTGCTCAGCTTCAGGTAGGTCCTGTCTCTCCCCGGATGGCCGGCCGTCAGGCAATCATGATTCTGTTTGAGCAGTTGCAGCCGTACCGGACCGCGAGGAATGCAGAGGCGAGCATCGCCCGATGTTACTAGGTACAGCCGCCGGTCCACACTGTTCCAGACGTATCGCTCATGCATGGCGTCTTCGCTGCAAGCCTACAAGCGCTTGATTACTGGCGAAAGCTCTGGGTCACTATCATACCCTGCTGAGATCTGATTCGCAATTCCTTGATTCACATCCAGAGAGAACTCGATTCCATTCAGTTCCAAGTCTGGTCGACGTGACAACGGGTC